AGTCAAAGCTTTCGCTAATTCTTGGATTACTGGAGTATATTCCTGTCCCCACACCCTCTCTAGTTTTGGATAGACCTGTATACCAGACCTTACCGTGTTGGTTATAGTATGTATGCCTAATTATTCTAATTCTATCTGTTTACTTTGGTAGTTCTTATGACCTCGCAATCAGTTTGTAGCCATTTCAGTACTTTGACATCTCTAACATTGTTAAATTCACGATATTTTTGCATAGAAAAACACCTTAGATAGAAAATCTACGGAAGGTAATGTTGATAAAATAAAATTTTATAAAATGTTTACAAGATATTTTGGAGGGTCCAAATATAAAGTGATCCAGCGCACTACGCCACTGATCCTCGTGTCGCTAGTCTAGCTCCCCGTCGTGGTTTGCGCACAGATTCAATTTACCCCAAGTAAATATTTGTGATTGAAGTATCGGCTATCGTCTTTAAGTGTCGCCAAACATGTCAAAAGTGTTGCTGAGTTGCGTGTTCCGTCGATATTTTTTACTACATTTTACTCAACATGTTTATTCTTTTGTTATTTATGGGTAATAGTCGAGGTCTCTATTTGATCCGCTGTGCCACGATAGCAAACCTTATGTCAATATGACAAATAAATCGGGAGCGAAATATAAACCCAGTACCGGCACTTACACAAAATTGAAGAGACCATAAATTAAAGGTAGTACCGCACTTCAATTACAATGAAAAAATATTCGGTAAATTAAAACACCTTTGTGTATATACTAAAAACAAAAAAAAATATTCGGTTGAAGTGCTTGCTACTTACTTTGGACTTGGGAATGGTAAATAGGGAGAAAAGCGAACACATGGATAGGTGTAATGTGTAGGTACACTGTCACAACTCTACCAAGGATACCTACCAGCAAGACATAAAATATATGGAAACTTACCTCAGATCCTCCCTAATTATGTTACCGAAAATTAGATAGAAATTTAGGTCCTTGAAAGTATATAATAGTAGAATCTCTAACCAAACACATACACCAATAATCTGATCTTCCAGGATCTTCTTCTTCTAATAGAGCTACCACCCTTTGGGAGTCTTGGTCTGCTTAACCATGTTTCTTCCATTTTGCCCTCTCGGATACTTAATTCACCACTATAGTGTATTTTTATGTATGAGAGAGTAATAAAACAATAAATTATGTATGCAAATCCCTAAACTGTTGATACGGGTGACTCAATGAAAAACAGATATTTGTCAACAAGTTTACAGAAGTATATAGGAAAACAATTTTAAATTGAGTATGACCACCAGGTATAAAGGTTGGAGCAGAATAGAATACAATAGTTGTGAGGGTTACTAATCCCTAAATAAGGTTGCCAGTGTCGGAGTGATGGAGGTTAACAGGTACTAATGAATTTGCAAGAAATGTAAGATGTTTATTTTATTGGTTATATATAACCAATAAAAGTTTAATAAGTACCTACCTATTTGCAAAATAAAGTTTAATTCTTTAGATAAAATAAAACGTTTTATTTTATCTGAAATGAGTGCATTCCACGAAGTAAGGGTTTCAACAATCAAACATTTAATTCTTTAATTCCAGGAATCTACGACAGTAATTGACTAGATAATTACCTTCTAAACTTATTCCACAGAAAATGTGATAGTGGGTTTTTCCATTTTGTAGGAAGGTCCAAGTGGCGTATTCAAAATTCTTAACAGTTCACTAAAAGTAGGTACTTCAGTTGCAAGGTGCAGTTTATTGTGTATACTAGTGTTATGGAAAATTTGGAAGTGCCGTGTAAACGCCGAAAAATTGGTCCTTTAACAGTTAATGAAAAAACATTAATATTTAATTGTTTTAAATCATTTACAGACAAACGTTTATGTGAAAGTGTTGATGAGACCGTTGAGTTAGTTAGCAGTACACTTGGTGTTGGGAAATCTACGATTTACAGAGTTATTAAAGAAGAGAAATGTGGTAGTTTTCAAATGCCACGTAATGCTCCAGGGAAACCAAAATTTCAAATAGAATATCATTTTAAAGAAGGACTTCGACGGAAAGTGCATGAATTCTTCTTTAGACAAGAATTTCCAACATTGGATAAAGTTCTTGTCTCAGTTCGAGATGATAAGGATTACCCAGAAATGAGTCGAAGTACGTTATGGAAACTTTTAAAAGAAATAGGCTTCCGCTGGAAAAAGAATCCCAGAAAGTCTATTTTATTAGAAAGAAGCGATATTGTCATATGGAGAAGACATTTTCTAAGAACCATAAAGGAAATGAGAAACCAAAAAAGAAAAATATTTTATCTTGATGAAACATGGATCAACGAGGGTCATACACCAAATAAATTTTGGCAGGATGAAACTGTTACAAGTCAAAGGCACGCTTTTGTAAATAACTTATCTACTGGTTTAAACCCACCATCAGGAAAGGGACGCAGGCTGATAATAGTACACATTGGCAGTTCAGACGGTTTTGTTGAAGGTGGTTTATTAACTTTTGAATCAACTCGTACCGGTGACTACCATGAAGACATGAACGCTGATGTCTTTCAAGAATGGTTCGAACAAATGATAGATCTTCTTCCTAAGAACTGTGTAATAGTAATGGATAATGCAAGTTATCACTCCAGACTTATAGAAGGACTGCCCACAACCAAGTGGTTAAAAAAAGACTTGCAGAATTGGCTGAGTTCAAAAAATATTACGTACCATCCCGGATCTATAAGAAAGGAACTTTATTCGTTGTGTGCCCTTCATAAAGAAAAATTTAAAAAATACGAAATTGATGAAATTGCCAAAAATCGTGGAATGACAGTACTTAGATCCCCACCATATCATTGTGAATTAAACCCGATTGAACTGGTATGGGCACAGATAAAGAGTGAAGTTTCAAGAAAAAATACCACTTTTAAAATTCATGATGTTAAACAGTTGTTTTTGGAGGCCGTAAATAATGTAAAACCTGAAAACTGGGAAAAGGCAGTAAATCACACTATTAAAGAAGAGGAAAAAATGTGGAAGCTGGACAATATTACTGATAAAATGATCGAGCCAGTTATTATAAATCTTGGTTCTGAAAGTTCATCTTCTGAATCTGATTTGGATTTGTAACAAGTAGCTGTAAGTTTTATATTAATATTTTTATTCATCTATTTAACATACCTTAGACGGTTTTAAAAACTCTTTTTCTCTTTTGTAATTTTTAAAAATTAAAAAAAATGTGAATTTTTTAAAACCCTTTTTAATGTAGGCCAGTCAGTTCTAATATAGTGTGTGATAAAAGAGGTCACTTTTGTTTACATACACATAACACTTTATAACACTGAAATAATTCATTTATTTTTTACAATTATTCAAAGTAATTTTTCAATTAATCTTGAGCACGCCCATGGAGTGGTCGGAGGTACCAGTTAAAATTATGCTAATTACTCTCTCGTTCATAAAAATAAACTATAATGATGTTCATAGTTTTAAGATCTTCCTCTACATCGTCTACTCACCTTAACAATATTTGCGTTTTGTATTAATTCATCCAGAGCTCATAGTTCATTTTTATTCTCCACGAAACAACGCTAGAATGGGTTGATCCAAATATCTATCTTTATTTATAATTTTCATCACTAGGTAGAAACACTTCTTCAGAATCACCTCGACCAGCTTGGTCCTGGCTCGGACCTCCCTGCCTTTCATAACTTCTATGTGGCCGGGGTCAGCCCTCTCATAGTAGGACATCGGGTTGGGATTGTCCGTTAAAACATAAGTTCTCCTCAATGTCTTTCTTTTGCACGATTCTCATTCTCTTGTCATCCCACATCAGTTTTTTATTTCGCACTTATGCGACCATCACGTCCACCTCTGCCTTAAAGGATTTTTCCTTCGCTTTCCTATTTGTCTTTTTTTCGCCGTCGGTCTTCAGCTCAGTCTGGACTTATTTCATTCCACTTGCACTGTCGTCTTTTCGTGCCTGCCGCCATCTCTCATCTCTCACTGTCTTATTCATACTTGCCTTTACCCATGTGTTGTCAACCTCTGTTTCTTCCTACCTCTGCGGCCCAGTTCTCTCTCCTCGATAGCTTTTAGAAATGTATCTAGCTCCCGCTCTTCCTTTTTTTTAGCAACAGCACCTTTCTCACATGGTTTTGGATTTTGTTCCACCATCGCTCATCCCTCACCGTCTTCTCTACCATTTCTTTCACCAAATCAAACACGCTGTTTAGGTCATTTCTTTCTCTTACCCACCTGACATACTCTAAAAGGGTATGTGACATAGTGTTTGAACTCCACAATTTTATTTATATTTAGACTAAATGGAGCGGCTTCCAGTTTCAAAACAATAGCTTTTTCACTTAATGCCATTCTATTGCAGCCTAGTATGGCAACATCATCAACGTTTTAATAATAGCTTTCGAAATTAGATTAAAAAGTGTTGTTGGTAAGTCATCACCTTGTCTAACTCTATTTTCAATATTAAATATATCTGTCATATCTCCACCTAACTATGGCTGTTGAATCTGCCAAGATTTAAATTACCTAAATTTCTAAAAATATAAATAGGGAGAAAAGGAAAGGTAAGGTAAGCTTTGTTACATTTAAATAAAATATTGGCTGTAGAGATTAACTTGTATTAATACAGTACAGCTAGCCCAGAGTCTTGGGAGGACGATCAGAACCCGAGCTAGACCCGTGGTCTGTAATGGTCTCTATAATAGTTAATGTGAACTGCCTTTTAATTCGCTAATGTTTATTCTTTGTGTGACCTGATGCCTGTGCCGTAGTCGTGAGGGTGGAAGTCAAAGTCACTAGCCAATAGAAATTGGAGTATAGATTTGAGTCACCCACGATAGGATCAGGACAGAACGAAAAAGAAAAACACACATTAGTGGACTTTATTGCTTTATCTAATACACTCCTTTGTGTTTATTTATTTTTTAAACAAACAAAAATCTATAGTTAGCTTTTCTGGCGAGGTCAAAAAGTTGTATTTATTTCCACAATGACATCAGGAGGGATGTTTCTTAAACTGGCGACTGGTGAGAGTTACCGGACGATTTATTCGCGTACTCTTTCTTCTTAGGAGGTACTAGATGATCCGGCAAGTCAAAAGGTATCTCATTCCCGTTTAATTTAACGTTTATCAGGTGCATAGCTAAAGCAAACTCGTCCTTATCCAAATACCCGTCTCGGTCAACATCTGACAGCTTCCAGATCTTCCCAAGTATCGCGTTCGGTAGTTTTGACTTCACCAGTTGTTCTTTCACAGTAGCTCCTGATAATTTGCCATCTACTGGTCCCAATGAGTCAAATATTGTGTCATAGGATTGTCTTTCTTTGTTAACAATCCATTCGGGCTCTCCAAAACCAGCATTGCAGCCTTCTCCACTCTTATATCCAAAAGGTGTGACCCTGTCTTCCACGTTTTCAAACGCTCCACCTGTAACTTCTGGTTGACTAGTCGATGACGAGTCGAAAGGTATCCTGGACATTAGGTGAGATATGTTAATGGAGAGCATATCATTAACTACATCTAAAAGTTTAGGTTTTAATGAATGAAACTTGCCGAAATCTTGTTTCGTTAGTTGTTCTTGCATTTTATTTATTTCTGGAAAATCTCCAATGGATATTTGGTGTTCCTTTTGAATTTTTTCATAAATTTGCGATAAGTTTTTAATGAGCTCCCTCTTTTTAGTTTCTTTACCAAAACGAGGCATTTCTTTCTTTAATTCGGAGATTATATAAGCATGAACCTTTGCCAAACGTGCCCTTTTTATCAAGTCGTTTAATTTCCGGAGAGCTGAATTCTTGGGCAAACTTTGCAAGTCGGTAAAAAGATCCTGCGTTTCATCTTCAAACAATTTCCTATTAACATCATACCTCAATGGCTCATCCCAAAAAGACCCAATATATACTCTCACCACTTCAGGAGTTTGTAGAACTTTTCCTAACGACCACATGAGGGCGCCATAAACACGCATCAGCTGCTGATGATCTATCATATCTGCCTTATTAAGAACTATCCTGATTTTGTCGTCGTGGCCTCGTAGAGCTTCAATTGATCTTCGGAATTCATCCGAAATGTCGAGTTTGTGGGCGTCAAAAAGGAGGATAATGCGATCGACGCGTTCTGCAAACCATTCTAGGACGCCGGTAAAATCGTAGCCTCTGTCTATTCTTTGTTTTTCGCCTAAAATAATAACAGTCTATTAGATTACTGATATATAATGAATATATACTATTTTATTGATGGTAATAATTGTAGTTTTAAGTTTGAAGCTAATAGTCTGGATAAGTTGCTTTTGAAAGCTTGGAAATATGATACAATGGCAGTGCAGTAGTTATTATTAATTTTAATAAAATTTACTTAATAAAGTAAAGTTTAAACACTGTAGCTGCATATATTGGGCAAACACACCTATATCTACATAAGAAGGGTTGTTGCACACAAAAATAGTGTACAAATCAACAAATTAAACACTATAGTCCTAGCTAAAGATTCTCTAGAAAATAGCTATTATTTTGATTTTAAAAATGTACAGATCTTGTAAAAATAACAGAACTTTAAACAAAAGATGTATGTTGGAGATGATTCCCATAAACAAACATCAAAATTGTATCAATAATGCGACCGATATAAAAAATTTCTTCATATATATCATTACTTAATAAATTGAGTTGTCCTTAAATGCACCATCTAAGATATCACTTTTTCATTACATCGCTTTGTGTAGATTTCAACAAGAACTTTGTTACGGCTTTGATGAATTGAGACGTCAAGTATTTAAATAAAAGGCCAAAGGAGACCAATTCACCAAACCTTCCGTGCATGAATTGGTATCGGTAGACTGTTATAATGATATTTCTGTATTTCCAGTCGGTTAGATACAAACTCCTACACGGAAAGCCAGCGAATTGTTCTGCTATTTCCTACTTCTCTAGCGGTAAGCAAAAAGCGCAAACTATTTGGATAGCCTTAAAGGAAAACGAGTTACCCCAAAGCCCAGGTGTTATTTGTAACATGATGGATATAGGAAATTCTGAGCATGCGGCGGTAGCGCCACATTTCGAACACTTCTAATCGTTTGGATGTTGTCCGTCAAGGTTCAGGCTTCGACTCCATACAAAAGGGTAAAAAATACATAGCACCTCAAGAGTTGTGTTCTTATATCACTGTTCAGGTACATATAACATAAAATCTTCCTGAGGCCATTGAAGACAGCTCTCGCCTTTTCTATAATACTTTATTTCCTGTGAGTGGTCCCATTCCTTATTTAGGCTGCATCCAATGCATCGACAGAAACACCGACTTCTGACTCTTGCTCTTCCTTGATTAATTCTTTCATGTATTGCCTCCATCTCTCAAGTATTCTCTCATTTTCGTAGAGCAGATTATTGTGTTCGTCTAGTATTAAGTTATGACTTCGTGATCCGTTTCCTTCCGTTAAGTTTTTGATGTTTTTATGTATGTTAAAAGTGTCATGCTTCTGTTCTAGGGATTCTATTTCTATGCATTGATCTTTTAGCTATGATTCTTTTGCTTCTTTAATCTTTTTCTTAACGATTTTGTTTGTTTCTTTGTATCTCTCCTTATTCTTATTTCTGTGTTTTCTTCGTTCTTCCATTAGCTCTAATATTTCTTGTCTCATCCACGGCTGTTTTTTATGTTGTTTGCTGGTTTAAGTATATTTTTGATTTTATTATCATCCACACTTATGTTTTCTTGATTAATACCTGAGACAACCTATTTATTTTGTTGTTGATCTCTTCTTTGACTTCGTCTTTTGTGGTTTTATATTTCAACGTCTGGATATCTAATGATGATGATCATGTCTGATGAACCGTCCTACAAAAAGATTGTGGTCTGATGATGGAACATCTGCCCCCGGATATGTTTTTGCGGATTTTACGAAATTCTTAAATCCTTTGTTGATGATGATGTAGTGAATCTGGTTTCTAATCATTTTTTTTTGACAGTCAGCGTGAGAACCAAAAAAGGTATATCGATGGAAGGCAACCGTATATACGTATTTCTGACTACTGGTCATCTTCAATACAGTGCAGCAAAGTTAGAAAAGAAGCATATTAACTTACGAAAGGATCACTACAGGAGCAATGCGACCAATTTGTGGCATTAGAGTTAGAAGTCCCTGATGGTTTTCAGTAACAAACCTTTAAAACAAATGGAAAAGGATAATGCGACTGAATAATGAGAGTAAAAATGGCATGTCTCGCAAAACAGAAAACCAAAAACGGTGTATCGATGGAAGGCAACCATATATACGTATTTCATGCATATAAGTATTAGGCAAATAAAGAAAAAAATCTTTTAACGAGAGACGTTTACCAGAAAATTAGTTAGGTTGTCAAGTTATAGTCCAATCAATATTTTCATTATTGTAAAGCAAAAATATATGGCTAATTAAACAGGCCTTGAAAATACAACGTTTTTTTACGACCTCCAATCTAATTTCCAACTTTCGGGACGCAACCTCTCGACTACTACGATGAAATATCCCCGCAACTTCTTCCATATACCAGGAGTAATGATTTACGAGGGCATCCACTTGATATATAGGTCGAAATCTTACTGAAATATGGGTCGCCATAACCTAATAATGCTGAAAAATATGCGGGGGCACACGGCAATACTCAAAGCCCAATTTTTTGTTGTGGCGTGTTGTAAAAGAAAAATAATTTCGGGAAATGCAAGGTGGTTTGTCGAAATGGAAAATAATGGGGTAACAAACGAGAGGGAAATGTGGAAGTGGAATGTAGATTACGCGGGATCTTACGCAAAATATTGTTCGGGGATGGATAAGTGCGTTTCAAGGAAATTGGACGTATATTGCTTGTTTTGATGAGGTTTTATGAGAAATGAATAGAAGATGTTGCTGTCTTATTTTTATGAGAAATGTCGCAAAATGAGATGATAGCAATTGAAAAAAAGCGCTGTTATTGCGAAATAAAAAATGTCCTTATGATTTTTTATCACTAATGACTATTACTATATGTTTTGTTATTCTGTTTTCCTTATTATACAGTTCTGAAACTATTCTCTTGTAGCATCTTAATTTAAATATAATATTTTTACTCGGAATTACTTACAATTTGAGTTTAAAATATGTTTATAAAATAAATAAATAAACACAATTATTTATTTATTTTGAGAAAGATTTCTAAAGTAAAAATCGAAACGTCCAAAGAAAAATATTTTAAACTAAAATTGTGGTTTAATTGTCATTTGTCAAAAATTTTATTAACATCCAAGGGACAGAGATAGAACACGTAGATGAATATACATATCTGGGTCAAAATGGCAATGTAAGCAAAGAAAATCAGACTACCGAAATAAGCGGATGTGTAAAAATGGGATGGGCAGCATTCGGAAGACTCTCATACGTACTTAAAAATAAAGATATACCTCAAAGACTGCGTCCCAAAGTGTTTAATTATTGTATCCTACCTGTACTTACATATAGAGCTCAAACCTAGACATTCACTAAAATAAACATGGAGATCAGAAAAACTCAGAAAGCTATGAAACGACAGATGCTGGGTATCATGTCAAAGACCATAAAATCAATGAAGACATTCGTAACAAAACAAAAGTAAAAGATGCTGTGAAACAGACAGCTAAATTAAAATGGAAATGGGCTCGACATATCGAACGTCTTAAGGATGGCCGATGGAATAAAGAAATCGGGAATTGGCGGCCATATAATGCCAAAAGACCACGAGAAAGATAGCAAATGCGCTGGAGGAATGATATTAAAAAAACTGCAGGACCAATGTAGAATCGTCTTACAAACAACAGATATGAATGGCCAGAATTACTAGGGGGATACATTCGGCAATCCGAATAGACAGAAGGCCTTAAAAAACTATCTTATATATTGTTAATAAGGCTTTAAAACTTTAAACAAATAAGTGAGTCTTTTCTGGAAGTTATCTTATATACCGAATTACTACAACCATTAGATATACAATTTGTAGCGTGTTGTAGATATACCATTTATTTATGGTAACTCTCGAATTCTAAAAACTTCTAGCAGCTTGTACAGATCTAGTGGATCGGAAGCTTACGTTTTTAAAGTCATTCCTCTTATTAGCGGAACCCAATCACACTTTGGGCCTGTATTTGGGTACCATATAGCTATAAGTTTCCATCCATACGATATCTCTAATTTCATTTATGACTCTCTAATATTAATATGTCCTCAGCTAACCATTATCCTCCACATTATAATAATGTGCACAGGATGGAAGTGTACTCTTCAGAACCTAACCAATTTTAAAGTAAGCAAGTTTTTACAATTAACTTAATTTGAGATTGACACTTTTTCGCTTTGGACTTTGGTCACCGTACCATTGTTTATTGCATCAAACTACTATTAAGGAAAGTAGTCACCGCTCCATTGGTTATTCGTTCTATATGTCGATTCTAAGTAAGCCTTCAGTATAAAATTACTCCAAGATACTTAATTCACGTTTATCGATAGTCCCTTCGTTTCCCAATTTAGTGATTTGAAGACATCTTTAAATCACTAAATTGGAAAACGAAGGGACTATCGATAAACGGAAAGTATTTAAACCATCTGAGATATACAGATGACGTAGTACTAATAGCCGACAGCTGGAAAAAGCTGAAGACGATGATCGATGAGCTTCATACGGAAACCATAAAAAAGGACTGAAAATGAATCTGAGTAAATCTAAGCTAATGTCGAATAAAGATGATCAACCGACGATAACCATCCAAGGAACAAAAGTGGAACATGTAGAAGAATACATATACTGGGTCAGAATATCAAGGTAAACAAAGAAAACCAAACTACCGAAATAAGCCGACGAGTAAGAATGGGATGGGCCGCATTTGGAAAACTCTCATACATACTGAAAGACAAAAAGATACCCAAAACCTTCGAACCAAAGTGTTCGATTCTTGTATCCTTCCCGTTCTCACTTACGGAGCTCAAACCTGGACATTCACAAAAAAGAACATGGACAAGATTCGAAAAACTCAGCGAGCCATGGAACGACAGATGCTTGGTATATCTCACTAATAAATCGGCAAACGAACGAAGCAATCCGGAACAAAACAAAAATAAAGGACGCCGCGAAACAAGCAGCTAAATTAAAATGGAAATGGGCTGGACACAACGAACGTTTCGAAGATGGTAGATGGAA